CCGCGGCCTAGATGAAGGCCGGGCCGGGCACGAAGGCCTGCTTGCCCGCCTCGCCTGAACGCTGCTGCTGCCACCGCCGCTGCCCGCCTGGCTGGCTGCCTCCTCCGCCCCAAACAATCAAATCGTGGAGGAGAGAGGAGGGGGGCGGGGGCGAAAGCGAAATAGGGAAATGGGAAAGTAGGGAGATCGCGGGGAAAAGGTTTTCGTGGTGGGGTGGGGGTGGTGGTGCTGCCGTGCTGCCGTGTGCTGCTGTGCTGCTGCTGCTGCTGCCTTGCTGCTGCTGCTGCTGCCTTGCTGCTGCTGGCTGCAGGGAAAAAAGTATGCACGCAGTGCAACTAGATTGTCCGACCTATTTCTCTCCGACCTGGCGATTTTTTCAAAATCCCAATGTGCTGTTGCTGCAGCCAACGCCAAGGGGCGTACAAAGGAGTTGTTCGCTGTTTCTCGCGGGTAACTCGCGGGTCCGCGGGGGTGACTCGTGGGTCTTCGGGGGTAGCTCGCATCCGCGGATCCTGCCGCGCGGGTAGCTCACGGTCCGCGCCGCGAGTCACCCCGTGGACCCGCGATCTACCCCCGCGGAACCGCGAGTTACCCCCGAGGACTGGCGGGAACCCGCGCGAAATCGCGAACAACCCCTTTGTGACGCCCCTAGGCGTTGGCCCGTCGAGCGCGGGCTAGGCACACCCGCTACACGTCCGAGCGCCACGGGCCTACCTGGCCCTCCTGTGAGAGCTGTGCGCAGAGCTGTCGAGCGGGAGCCAATCAGAGCGGCCGAGAGTTCCCTTGGTGCCGCGAGTCCCGAAATCGCCATGCGCGAGGCTAGCAGCAGCCGAGCAGCCATAACCCCCCACTCTCCACCCCGAGTTTTCAGATATAGATTTCTTTCGCAATTCTCTTCGCACCGCCGCGAGACATGACTTTTTGTAAATGTTAGGCTTGCAGTAGCTCATAAACTATAAAACTCGCCCGCTCTAAGCTAAAATCTGTTGATGACAACGATTACTGTGCGCGAAGTAGGCGCGCAATTTCTCCTAGTCCTAGTCCCGCACAGGTTGTCTCCAGCCCCATGGAACTGAGGGCCACTAGCCTGCCTGGGACGCCCGGGTCGGGCCCGCCTTCTCACCCCCGCCACGGACGTCTAGAGGATTCCTCGGAAATGATTTGTGTGCAGGAAGAAATTATGCTCGAAGTATGATTCAAGAAGGTAATTTTTTATTTAACATATATCTGGACTGGTATAGGTTTGGTTAGGTTTCTTAGTTTGATTAGGTTTCTTTTTGTAACAGTGGCACACATTGTTTCGCTTTGCTCGGCGGGGCCGTCAAGTCGCGCAGTGAGTCCTCCTGGTCCCAAACACGCTCTGGGGCGTCCTCTGCCGCAGGGTGGCAGGGGCGTGCCTGACGTTCGCCGCCCCTAGAAGAGTTCTTTCACCCCAATATCACAGGCGTCGCAGAACACCTCGACCCCGGGCAGCACCCGCCGCCGCACTTCGGCGAGCTGCAGTTTGCAATCGTCTGCCGAGTGGCCGCCATCAATCCTATTATGCACGAGCCTCCGCAGCGCCCGCAGGCCGTTCAACTCCAGCTCCGGTTGCGGGTCGGGCCCCATCCGCGACGTGCCCATCAGCATCTGCAGCGTCTCCAGCGAGTGGGCGTTGTGCCGCAGCATGAACTGCAGCTCGCTTCGGAACATACGGTCAACCCGCAGCCATTGCAGGCCAGCGTGCCCCGGCGGGGGCGCATTGAACACGATAGCCGGAAGGCCCAAGAAACCCTCACATATCACCTCCAGCCTCCTGAGCCGCGGCATGGCACGCACCGCGAGCATGTGGAAGTAGTTGTGCACGCCACTGAGGGGATTTCTCACGCTCAGCTGCTCCACGGAGGGCGCGGCGATCTGCAGCAGCTCGAGGCTCCAGGCGGGGTCCACGTTGCAGTACACGTCCACCAGCCGCGTCACCTGCGGGAGGGAGGACAGAGTCACTCGGGGCGGGGCGGCTGATGACATATGACATGAGGGCCCCCGGCGCCCCGGCGCACACTCACCCCTCGCGCGTCCAGCAGGGCGACGAACTTCTCCTGCTTCATGAAGTCGGGCCGATAGCGGCTGATAATGCTCACATCCATCACCCGCGGGGGCCGCGCCGTGGCAGGTGGTGGCAGGCCAAGGAAAGCTGCAGGTGCCGCCGTAGGTGGTGCTGCAGGTGGTGCTGCAGGTGGTGCTGCAGGTGGTGCTGCAGGTGGTGCTGCACGTAATGGATCCTTCATTACCTGCACAAAAACTGCACCTGTACTTACTTACCCAAATAGTCTGCAATGCTTTCTTTTGATTTGTTAAATCTTAACTTGTTCCAGTTACTTGTTGCCCATGTGTATTAAATATAAAGAGAATCGCTCGACAGCGAAGGTCGAAGTTCATGAAATTTAGTCAGGGCTAATCGGGCTAATTCATCGAAGTATACATCGCGGTTCAGCAAAGTTCTTTCATTAGCGTTCAGAAAAGTCCAATATAGTCATTTAAACCGAACATCAAACCGTCTTTCCTTTTAATATGCCTTCCAAACTCGAAAATACGATCGAATGAGTAGTAAATTTGAATAGTAAAGAGCTGAAAAACACCGAGAACAGCAGATATCGCCTACCTCGGTGAGCGCGGCCCTCGCCGCCAGCAGAAGCCACAGGGCCTTGGTGAGGGGGTCCTCGGTGTTCCGCAGGGTACCCGTCAGCTCGCGGCCCCCGCCCCGCAACGACACGTCCCAGGACTCGCCCGTCAGCAGGGTGAGAGCGGGCAGGGCCTGCTCGTCCCGGCACTGGTCCGGGAGGCCCTGGAGCTGCTCGGCGGCCTGCGGGAGCGAGCCCTGCAGCAGGCGCCTCAGGGCTCGCTTGACGGGCAGGACGTCGTGGTCCTCCCAGCAGCGGGGTGTGGCTGCGGCGCGGCAGTCCGAGCACCAGCCGCGAGGGGTGCTGGGGGGGCACAAGTCAAGACATGAGGCCAACGAACACTCTGCCTCCGCGACGGGCAGCGCGATCGAGCTCACCTGTCCAGTCTGCGTTCTTCAAGCAACGTCAGGGCCAGGAAGTTAGTCGGGAGTTCCTCCGGCGGGCCGTCGATGTTCTGTGGGGAAAACAGATGGGAATTAGTGGAGGGCAGGGAGGCGGGCACAGGGTGATACAACTCTGGACACTCACCCTCCGGCACGTCGGGCACCTGCTGTCCTGCAGCCGCTGCAGGCACTGCAGACAGGCCGTGTGCCCACACGGCAGGACTTTGGGCGCCCGCTCGGCGCCGTCGAAGTGCTCAGTGCAAAGGTCACACGCCATGGCTAGGCTAGTGAAAATCTAAAAAAAGAAAAAAAAAGGAAGGTTGCTGGTTATAGACCCAGAATAGGATATTTCATTGGAGCGCTGCCCGGAACTAAGAAGAACAAAAGTGGATACAGAGAGCGGTGTGGGGGCGGGCGCGCGGAGAAGCGGAGGGCGTATGGTCGTTTGCGGCGGATGCCCATTTGAGCCGGGCCTACCTGCGAGAGTTAGGGGGTCGGTAGTAAATGCCGTCGCATGCTGCCCCACAGAGAGGGGATTAGCCCACTGCGCTGGGCCGCCGGGCCGATCCCCTCTGTGTAAATGGACATTTGAGCCAGTTACTCTTGGTTGCCTACTCGAAATATTGCGAGCAGACATGGGCGTCGGCGCTAGCGAACGAGCCGAGCTCGGCAAAGCCAGCTGACTCTCCTACACGGGCTAAGGCAGTATTCACGTAGTGTTAACATCTTTCCATTTAGTAAGCAAACCTAAACTAACAAACCTAATTTAATACAGCAAATCAGTAAATATACTGTCAATGCAGCGTTCACTCCGCTTTGCTTTTAAATAAAATGAAGCAAACCTAAACTAACAAACCTAAATTAATACAGCAAATCAGTAAAGATACTGTCAATGCAGCGTTGCACTCCGCTATCGCTCCGCGCAACGCTTTGGCATGGGTTCCTAGGCTCTCAGTGAACGACCGATGTCCTTTTAGATGTTTTCATAAGAGACGTATAATACATTTTAGAGGTATCAATAATTAAAACGAAGCAAACCTTAACTAACAAGCCAAATTCAAAGAAGTAAATAAGCAAAGATACTATCAGTAAGCGTTGCACTCCGCTATCGCTCCGTGCAACGCTTTGGCATGGAGTCCTGAACCTTAGGGTTGAGTCGTCCCAGCGCACACGCCGGCGCAAATGACCAGTTTGGTGGGCGGGCAGGGGCGGCCACAGGCCCCTCGAGTGATGCGTGCTTACTGACCGGCCCCGGCTCATATGACCAGATTTTAAAGCCCCGCAGGTAGGCCCGGCTCAAACGGGATGCGGCCTCGTTGGCGGCACTAAGCCCCCAGGTCAGAAGGGTCGAGTGTCGATTGCGGCGGGGCCAAGGCGCGGATTGTCGTTTGCGGCACGCGCGGGGAAAGCCGAGGGAAGAAAGAGACATTTCCCTCCGCAACGAATCGACATAAGTCGGCTAGGTCTCAGACAACTTCAAAACCGAGGACCCATGCCAAAGCGTTGCGCGGAGCGATAGCGGAGTGCATCGCTGCATTAACAGTACCATTAATGATTTTCTGTATTAAATTAGGTTTGTTAGTTTAGGTTTGCTTCCTCTTTTTTAAAAGCAAAGCGGGGTGCAACTCTGTATTGGCAGTATCGTTACTGATTTACTGTACTAAACAATTAGGTATGTTAGTTTAGGTTTGCTTCTCTCGGCCCCAGCCGGTGACGGTTCTGCCGCAAACGACATACAACCATGCGGAGGGCCGGGGGGGGGGGGTTGACTCTAACACATGGTTTCATTTCTATTTCCCCTTATTTCAAGGCACTTTCCCCAAAAATTTCCTTGAGTGTATTAAGAAGTACAGGGGCAAACAAATGTCTCCCGCCCACTCCTCTCAAAACGCTTCCAAAAATGTGCTTTTATTTTGCTATAGATCTTCTATATCGTTTACATGTGCGGGAGCACAGCGGCGGACGAAATTTAAAGCGTAACTATTGAATATAGAAAATAGACGCATGTGAAATAGAGTCGTGGCTACAGAGAGGTAATGAAAAACACCACGACCGATGCGAGCACGACAATTTTTTGGTGATTGAGGGAGGGGATGAGGGAGGGGCCCGGAGGGCGCCCCTTCGGAGTGGGTTTGGCGCCCCTCCGGGGCGGGTTTGGTGCCCCTTGGGCGCGCTCAGGGGCGGGGCACTCCCCCCCGTTCGTACGGCCCTGCGGGCAGCGCTCCATTGAAATACCATATCCAGTTGCTCTAGCGGCACGGACTTTTCCTTTCCTAACCGGTACCCCCGTTCAATAAAGGTCGGTTTGGATTTGTGATAAAACTTCCAAGCATTCTCTTGACATGAAGACCCACCGCACGGCCCCGCCGTCCGCAACTGATGTACCCAAGGAAAACGTTTTTCTCACGAATACCTCATTGTGACCTCTTTATGACTTGCGAGGTAACAATGAGGTCTTTGTGAGAACCACGTTTTTCTTGGGTAGCGTACACTGGCACACTCGCGGCAAAAGACATTAGGGTACTCCAGGGCTCGGCTAGGTACTGCCCCCACCCTGCCCCGCTCCTCCCCGCGCCCGACGATTTTTGTTCTTCTCCTTCCGGTCTAGCCAAGCCCCGGAGTACTCTATGTCGGTGGTGCGTTTGTCGGCGACCTGCGGCGTTTTGTAATATTGAGGTTTGAGGCAGATATTTTGGGGCAAAGTCTTGCAAATACAATCCAAACGTTATCACGCCACTGTCTACAAGTATCAGCAAAGCCGAAGGGTTCTTTACTCACTCGTTCGTCTGGCGAGGTCTGGCGAGGTCTGGCGAGGTCTGGCGAGGTCTGGCGAGGGCAGGGCGTCCTATAACCTCTCTGTACTCGTGTGGCTCGCTCAGCTCCGCTAGCTCCGAAACACAACGAGGTCGAGTTTAGAGGAGATCACCTACGGCAGCGGTGCTTGGCGTTCACTCGGCGGGGCACTCGGGTTGAACTGAGACTGGGCGCTGCTTCTGACTATGCTGAACCGAACCAGCTTCAGAGCAGTACTGCTCTGAAGGAACCAGTTTGCGCAGCGTGCAGCGTGTTGTTGCTGGTGTCTGCTCGGACTGACCGACTGACTCCGCTGACGCGGGCGGGCAGCGGCAGCGGGGCGTGGTAGCGCCCCCTGGCGGCAGCTGAAGCGGACCAACAGACTGCCATCCTGAATGTTGCGGAATTCCCTCGGAGACACAGCTAGAACTTGTTTTCTGAACAGGTTTCAGATGTCTGAAGTGAACATCGTCACCGACACCATTGTTGCTGCCTCATCTAAGGTATTATACTGCCTCACGCCTTTTAGAGTTTTTGTTATTATACCGTTTTAAAACACCCGACTCGGTTCATTCCACAGTGAGGGCAGGGAGGGTCCGGTGACAGCGGGGGGTGGGGGGTCCTCGCGGGGACGCCCGGCACGGCGCCTCACAAAGTACAAAATATAACTATCTGTATTTTGTGCGGCGCCTGCCTGACACGGCGTAGGAGATTGACAGGCATTCATCAACAAAAACACACACTCTCACACCCGGCCCCGACAAGGGGGATGATTGCAAAAGGAACGGCAAGAGGAGTTCACAAAATAAGCTGCATCTCGTACAGACGAGGCAATTCCAAAGGAATTGGAGCTCGCCCTCTGGAGCGCGCCGCAGTTTAAATATCCCGCCCCGGCCGGCTCGGCGCCCCTGGATCGGGGGGTAGGCAGTCCCGCGACACGCCCGAGCGCCATGGGCTGCCTGCGCCACCCAGGCCGGGTCTCCGTCCTTCGAACCTTGACTTGACTTGACGAACCACGAGGCCATTATTGGCCCAAAGTTTTAGATCCGACCGGAGTCGTTCTATTTCTAGTTGAACCTCACTGTTAGAAATTTCCACGGAATTTTTAACGGAATTGTCAAGAAATTTTTTTCACGGAATTTACCGTAATTTTTCCGTATTTTCTACGGAAACC